CAAGTTTGCATTGTTTCTTTGAGATGTAGTCCATTCTGAGAAAGGGGTTGTCAGCTTCTCATATTTCGTTTCCACAATGTTCCAAAGTTCATAGCCAATTGAATGGAGATAGATTTTCATTCGGTACTTCCAATAGTTGCAGTTCAATCCATCGAACATTGGTGGATGATTTGTAGAATGACCCTTTTTAAATTATGATGTATTTGTTGATGCTATCTTTAACCTTGCTCTGATACCAAATGTAGGATCTGAAATAGGTACACTAGAATACTAGAGGGGGTGAATATTATTCTTTTAAAATCTATGCAAAGTAGATAATAAATTGCAATAAAGAATGGTAACAATCTGAAAAAATCACAATCACAAAAAAGAGATTTTATACTGGTTTCACCAATCCGGTATACATCCAGTCCCCAAGCAAATTCTGCTTAAGATTTCCACTATAATTTTGAATCAAGTACAAAATTAAAATCAAACCTGACCAATTTGCAAGTCCCTGCAAATTGTAACACCAATTGACAGACCCTTGCCAATTGCACACTGATCTCTAGACCAAGAGATCAGTCTCTCTCAAACTGAGAGAACTTTCCTTGAATTAAACAACTCAATTCCTATAAGCCTTGATTTGAAGTGTTGTGTAGCAGTGGCGTAGGAATACTTTTAACCTCTGGAAATTTCCTAAATAATATGTATTTTGAATGATGATCAAAGGCAATTTCAGTAAAGATCTTTTCTCAAAACTTACTGAAATCTGAAATTTTTGACTTTTGAAAAATGCACAAACAATGAAGTTTATAGGTATATAATCATATGTTATTTTTCTAAACATATAACCTTTTTATAGCCCTTGAAAAGACAAGTTTTTAAACTTTAAAAACGTTTAAAAACGGCTATAAACTGTTAATGATTCAAACATTAACATTTAGAAAAACTGCATTAGTAGTCGACTATAATGCATAGTAGTCGACTACTCTGTAATACAAAATGTCTGGAATTTAGAAACTAAAACTTAGTAGTTGACTATTCTTCTTAGTAGTCGACTACTCTGTATTACAGAAAGTCTGAAAAACAAAAATCAAATATCAGTAGTCGACTATAATTGTTAGTAGTCGACTATATTGTAAAATAAACATTCTATAAAACAATTTTCAAACCTCAGTAGTCGACTATATTTACTTGTAGTCGACTACTCTATAAAATAAACGTTCTGTAAATCAAAATTTAAAGCTGAGTAGTCGACTGTAATTCTTAGTAGTCGACTACTCTGTAGTTTTACAGAAACTTATATCTTGAACTTAGACTACAGTAGTCGACTATTATTCTTATTAGTCGACTATTAAAGAGTAAAAATATTATGTATGAACTATTTTTAGACTTAATGATAAACTAAAAACTCTAATGGTTAACATAAGGGATTTCTATTGTTAACCAACACACTAAGCCTATGTTAGTGTGTTCTAATTTCTGTGTGTGTGTGTGTGAGTGATCAAGTCTTATACAAAAATTCTAAGTAAAGATAAATGTAAAAATTACATTGATGTATTTGTTTTTCATCTTCTTTACTTCATAATGCCTTGAACTCATATTGCACTTGTTCATTTTGATGTTGAAAGCTGCAATTAAATGTTAGTGCAAATGTATAACACACATAGTGATTCTCAATATGAATAAATTGTTATCATCAAAATTATATCATGGGGACATGATATCCAACAATTTCCATAGTGTTCAAGATGGTATGTGAGTTGAACTAATTCAATGTTCAATTTTTAGAAACCTGATCGAAGTGCTAACCTTTTACATGTTACTTGATAATTAAAGGTGCATTTCGTAGTAAGTTTGTGAGTATTAAACTTTGAGTGTGCTTGACATGAATCCTGTCTAGCAAGTTACCGGTAAGAATTCTTCATAATTAAATATTAATTATGCAGTTTAATCTCATGCATGCACAACTAAAAAAGCAATCTTTAAAAGGTTTTGTTGACCAGGGAAGTGCTCAGAAGAAGGGATAAAAATGTTTTACTCTAAGGTGTAGCATTTATCAAAGAGTAAAAGAAAACATATCCTGAAGAACATAGTTATACAAATCTGGAATATCTATATGAACTTTTGACAACAGATCTATGTGCTTATCTACTGATTAAGGAGAAATGAAAGGTGAGTTATTGAAAAGCCCCTAATATTTGTATGGTTCTCTGATCAAATTCACCTGTTGATGCAGTCTTCGGTATCACCTTCTCCATCCAGACTACCTATATTTTCGAATAAGGGAGCTGCAGAAGAATTTTAAGCTTCATGTTGTTCTGTGACATGTTGATGTGGTAAGCTTAATTGATTTTAGTCTTCATACATGGATCACTAATCTTTCTTGCTTGAAGCTGAGGGCTAACTTTAATATAAGTATTGTTTCTAGGTGGAAGAAAAACCATATGATGTAGTTAGATTTGGTGAAGTTTGAGAAGTTACTAAGTTAGTCTTACTGTAGTTTTTAATTAGTTGGGTGATATCTATTTGCTCATCTCTTCGTGTTTCAGGAAGATGTAATTAAACCTTTACTTGACGTTACGAAAACATCAATTACTGCTTCATGATTGCACCCTTCTATGTGGTTGGAGGTATGGTATTTTCTTGCAAGATTTTGTGTGTCTTTGTAGATTGACACTATGTTAATTTTGCGACATATAAATATTGGTAAGATTTTTTTTCATTGTTTCCTATTGTCAAGAACGATTAAATGATATTGAAAGAGATATATTTAATACAAATACAATTTATTAGTTCTTTCTACAAGAGAAATGTTTATACAAATTTAAGTATTGATTCAGTAGTTTACTTTTGAATTCATTTACAAGATTGTTGAGTATTAAGTTTGTGAGTATTAAACTTCGAGCGTGCTTTTATGAATTTCTACAGATGCGTTTTCTTTGAATGGACATGAAGGTGCTTCTGTTTTCAGTAAGTCGTCTATGAAGTTCAAGATGAATCTGTGAAAACTATTTCATTGTTATGAACAAGGAAGCTGAAAAATTAGTTAAAATACCAGCTCAAGATGTTGCGCAAACAATAAAATATGTGATTTTACTTCTTGAAGAGAAAGGGAGTAGACTTGCTAACTTTCATATTCTTCCATGTTGATATAACACATCTCTGTACCATTATCTTCTCTTATAGAAAAAGTTTAGCAAAGAGATCTTAATGAAGATGGTGAGTAACATGAGTTTGCCTCATTGCCTATCACAGAATCTAAGTTTATTCATGAGAATTTTGAATTTAACACTGTCATTAATAACTTAAGTTTAACACGGTCATTAATAACTTAAGTTTAATACTGTCATTAATAACTTAAGTTTTACGCATTACAACAAACATCTGAAGAAGTTTAGATTTGGCTCTTTGGGTCCCTCTCTACCATCATGAACATCCAGATGTTGTTGTAGAATGATTTTATGTCAAAGACTGCAAAAGAATAAACAAAAAAAGTCAAAAATGAATGGAATGACAACTCTTAAGTTTTAGAAATTTTCACAAGCTACAAATCGAATATACATTTGGTCAAATTCTATTCATTTATAAGCAAAACACTAAACATTATTTGTTTAGTACTAAATGGATTATTTAATCAAACTTGATCGAATATCTGGATGAATAATAACCGAACTGTTTATTAATTATTCGGTTCACTTCCACCACTATACTTCATATCTAAAGCAGAATTTTTTATTTTGATAACATGTTCAATATTTGAAAAAAAACATTTAAGAACCGTGGTTTGCACGGATCTAAATACTAGTGAGAAGGAAAGAAAGAACGAAGGAGGATTTTTTTTTTGGAAAAGGTGGCAGAAATTTGAATTATGAGGTTAAAGGAGACGATGATATAGATTTATAATTTTGATAAGTCACAGGGTTGGAAGAAATTTTTCAAAAAAGAAAAAATATAGTTCATTGTAAAAGGATGTTATTGTCACCAGGACACAAGTTAGAATATCATATTGACACCGGAGTAGAAATAAATACCTAATTGAAAAATAGGGTTAAGTTAAAATACCAATTTGGTAATTTAGCCTTTTATAGAACATGAAGTTGGTTAGTAAATTGCAATAGGTTTTTCAATATTAGTCCCTAAAATCTTTCATATTTTAAAATTAGTCTCTCTGATGTTCAAATTTTTAAACTAGTCCCCAAATCTTCAATTGTTCTGAAATTAGTCTCCTAAATCATAGCCCCCCCCACCCCCTCACCCCCACCAAAAAAAAACAAAAAACAAAGTTAGAAGTAAATTCAAAAGATTTGGGGGTTAATTTCAAGGCATTTAAAATATGTTCGTGTTTAATTTCTGGGGGTCTAATTTAAAAATATGAAGATTTGAGGACTGATTTAGAAACATTTAAAGATTTTGAAAACTGATTTCAAAATATGAAAGCTTTATTTTTATAATTTTAGTTTTTTCGATATTAGTCCCTAAAATCTTATATATTTTGATATCAAAATTATTATTAGGTCCCTCAAATCTTAGGATATTTTAAAATTAGTCCTCAAATAATTAAAATTGCTACTTGAACCCCCCAATTCTTAGGTTATTTCGAAATTAGTCGCTCACATAAAGCATGGAAGTGGCAATTTGAGGAAAATTAGTCCCCCAAATCATTAAAATTGCTATTAGGTCCTCAAATTCTAAGGCATTCTAAATTAATTCCTGCAATTGCTCTTCTATACTTGATTTGAGGGACTAATTCAGAATTACTCAAGAATTTAGGGACCTAATAGTAAGTTTAGAGATTTGAGGGACTAATTTGAAAATAATTTAATATTTGAAGGACCTCATAGCAATGTTAGTGATCTAAGGGACCGATGTAATATTTTGAAAGATGTAAGGGACTTAGATAGAAAAAACCTTTTAATTTTCAGTTTTTAGGCATTGATCATAGTTCTTCGGTCTAAATTCTCTCTCTGTCCCTCTCTCCCCGCTTACAAACGTCTCTCTCCCTTCCCCGCTTCTCCTCTCTTTCTCTCTCTCCCCTCTCGTTTGCCTCTCGGAACCCTGAAGACCACGTTTTAAGCTTCGACGGATGCCAATCGCCGATCTGCTACGCACATTGTCCTCATTTCTTCCATTTTATCTGAATCGATAGAAATTTACGGTAATTTACGTAGAGTTTATCTCAGAGATTTTAGTTTGTTCCCCCCTGATTGCTTGCATTGTAATCTCTTAGAAATATTTCTTCTATTGAATTGTCTCATAATCTCTTTCATGTTCAAGAAGCTAATAAACATTTCGCATTTGCTGATCATTTTCTGAGGTGTTTCCTTCCCTCTTGCTTTGTTGTATTTCACATTATTGCTTTTAAAAAGGCATTATTAAAAATACAAGTTCTGTTGATCATTTCTTTCTAGTACTCTACTTTTCCCCCATTCTTTACAATGAATTTATATGTAGGAATTATGCATTTTGTTTTTTTGTTTTTTTTGTAGGAATTAGGTCCTAATTGGATCACCCTGTAGTGCTGCAAACATTTTAATTTCTATTAACCAATCCATTAAATACTGTTTACATTATTATCAATTACCTCTTTAATTTATTGCTTTGCTGGGGTGCTTTTAGTGATGATTATGTTGTTCTATGAAATCTTCAGCTATGCAACTTCATACTAGGTAAAGTTATCCGACACAAAAAATGCTTCTTAATTACCATTCTATGCATGCAGGGAACTTTTGGTCTGCCTTCGACCATCGCAGACGAAATATTTTTTTTTTCATTTCTTTCTTCACATGGCTTTCATCCTTCTTTCTTTATTTCTTATAAAGTATCTTTATAATGTAATTTTCATGTTATGTGGTCGTCTTTTCATTCACTTAGCTCTGTGTAGAACAGACTATAACTTTTGACAAAGATTTTGAGTACTTTATTCATTCATGAGAAATTCTCTCATGTTTTTTTAATTTTGGCTTAAGCATATTCTAATCTAATCTAATATTTTTTTTGGGTATTCTTTCAATAGTTTAGGCTTGTTATTGAAGCATGCAAGCTATAAGAGAGATGCATGGATCAAGATCTTCAGTATGCACAGTTAAACAGCCGTACCTATCCCCCAAAAGCCCAAGTCCAAAAATTCCTCCATCTTATGTGGGTTATAATTCTGCTCATTTAGGACCTATTGGAACTCCAACAACCCGAGAGGGGCACAGACACCAACACACTTCCTCGGTGAGCATTCTTATAGATGAGCAACCCTCATGGCTCGATGACCTCCTTAATGAGCCAGATTCTCCTGTTGGAAAAGGAGCTCATAAACGATCATCAAGTGATTCTTTTGCATATGTACATACGTCTAATGTGTCTTCTAATCTAGCCCATGATGGCTTCAATGATCAACATCTTCAAGGGCTGCAACATCCACACTGTATTGGGGAAAATTCTTCTAGGATGCTTCAAAATAGAAGACATGAATTGACTTTGAGTAATGTGAATTATCTTGGTAGAAATGGTTCATTTGTAAAGAAAAAGATTATAAGACATCCTGGTCCAATATCTACTACAAAAGAACCTGAGGCGTTAGGATGTGAACAATTCCATGAGGAGTCCGCTCAAGATATGAAAGAATCTTCAGAAAAAAAAGAGGACGCTCATGAGAAGCAGGCGCAATCCGAGCTGGAAATAAAACAAGTTAAACGGTAAGTTACATAGCTAGGTTTAGTAGTGCTTCCATAGATCTTATTGCTTTTGAATTATCTGTTATATATATATATATATATCTATACACAAGAATATGTGGTTCAGTTTAGCTATATCTCTGCTGTTCACTTTGTTGCATGTTTATAGCATTTTGTAGACTATGAATTTCTGTGACATATTGCTTCCTTGAACTGCTTTCCTGATGGTTTCTTTTGCGCTCAAAGTTTTGTTTCTGTATTACCTGAAAGTAGCTTTAATATAGGAACATCTGTTACACACGTTTTATTTAATTGCATTGTTTGGTTAAACATCCAGTATCTTCATTTCACTGCACTTTAATGTTTCCTTGTAAGAGCTATCCAAATATAACATTATTCAACTAGAGTTGCAAAATATCTGAATTTTGTTTCCTCATTGTACAGTTTTGAAGCATAAATTTAAAATTTTAAAGGAATACTTAAAAGAGAAGGTTGAAAATGAGAAAGAGGGAGCCAAAGAGAGTAGCAATGACTCTTGTAGATAAAAGAAAATGTTTTGGAATATCCATAAGAGGCAGCGAACAAGAGTAAAATGGAAAAGGTCTGAGAAGCATTCCAAGTATTTTCCCAATTTTGTTCTTCTATGCTGTTATTATGAACGATTTAGAAGTCATTGCATTCCCCACCTTAAAACTACTGCATCCGTATATCCCAACTCAAACAGTGACCAATAAGATATGATGTGAAATGGTATTCTGATTCAAACTTGATGATCAGGAACAATGGAGAATGAATGTAGAAGTTTGTTAAGAGACAATAAAGGTAAGTTACACCACAGGCATGAAAAAATTATGAATAAATGTAGAAGCAATTACTATTGCCCTTGTCAGAATATGATATGCTCAAAATATGACTTTTTTTTCTCAAGAACGAAAATATAAATACTGTATGAGTGCTGCTCTCAGGCAACTAGAGTAAGAATGACTGTCCTATTGTGAATAAATATGTGGTGGTCGGTTACTGATATGGAGTGGAAATGTGATACTAACTCACTGGGGGCAGCAGCCAAGTTGGGATTTCAGACCATCTTGTACCACCATTTAGAAAAGAAGGATAGTTTTCCCCTTGGTTTAAAATTTATTCTACATCTTTTCCCTTCAATGCTTTTGCAGAGAAAAGAAAAGTATTGTTTGTCTAAAAATTTTATATGCTTCCCTTTTAATTGCTGTAATTAGAACAATATCAGAAGGTAGAAAATAGGACTGCATTTTTTCCCCTCTTCTTCTTATTTATCAAATATGACCAAGGTTTTAAATATCGTCTAATAATCCAATATTATTCCCGAGTTATCGGTTTTGGAAGCTTTCCGATAGGATAAGTTAGAATTTAAACCGGTTATCTTTTTTTGGGGTTTATCGGCGATAAAGGTGATTATCGGCTGATATTAGTGGCTCTATAAATCAGAATTATCGGGCCACACTATTGGGTTGTGATTTTAGGTAATGGGTAGTTTTTTAGTGAACTTGAAACCCAACACAGACCCGTTCTTTACAATAAAACTTAAACTCGATTAAGTAGTCCTAATCCTTCGTTCTCTCTCCCCTCATTTGTGCGGCTGTGTCCATTGTCCTTATCCTCTGATCTTCGTTTCTCTTTGGACTCTGTCGACCTTGACACTCGCCTCCGTCGACTTTGACGCTTGCCTCCGCTCCTCTTTGGACTCCGTTGACCTCAACGCTATCGACTTCGACCATTCGACACTGCTCTCTCATCGACATTAACTTCATCAACTTGACGACTTCGACTGATACTGTGTTCTCTCCATCGACACCATCATCAGCTAATCTGTTTGACTTGACGATGTTGACCAACGCTGAGCTCTCTATCGATGCCGAGCTCTCTCCATTGACGCCATCATCAACTGTGACTTCGACAATTCAACTTGGACTCTCCATCGATGCCACGCCTTTTGTCACGCCCCGAAACTGCAGCGGAATATCATAAAATACGGGGTACGCGACAGCAGCGACCTGTGCACGAGACAAGTCTTATGCACAAGTCAAGCCTGACAAATCATATCGCATAGTTTATTTTCAAAATATTCATAAACTTGCTGATGATAGAAATCAGAGCAACTATATATATATAACTGGTACTTACAGCCCACAAGCTCACCGTTATAAGTATTTTTACAAAACAAAACGAAATATGCTGAAGGTAACATCAAAAAGAAGAGGCTCTCCATATAACGCCTCTCAGCCACAAGCTCAAACCAAAAGTCGGCTAATAGGAAGCTACGCCGGATCTGAAAAAAAATATTAAAAACAACGGAATGAGCTAGCGCTCAGTGAGAACATTTCCCACTAGAGTTCCTAGATAACTAACAAAATAGTAATAATAATAGTTCTCAGAAATTTACAAATTTCAAGTTTTGCATGAGAAATTCACAGATAGCAGAATACGATCCAAAAATCGTAATATTGTCATTTTTAAGAAAGAATACAACAATTATATTTTCTTTCTCATGTGCAACTGAATAAACTGTGAAATTTCTTGGAATCAAACTCTTTTTGAAACAAGGTAAACATTAAGAAGAAAAGAACTACTAATTTGGGCAAAATCAGAGAATTGTTGTTTTCTTAATTTCACAGTCAAATTATCAGAATCTTATTTCTCGATGAGTATTTCATGAATGTAAAAGTCACCCCATAGGTCACACTAAGGCTACGAATTTTAGCCCAGTAGCAAGGGAATGCGTAACCGCATCAGATAACAGATAATTCCCGGGAACCGAATGCACCTAACACTGCCATAGGCTACTGGCCAAATACAGAGGGGCCAGAACAGATTTCAGAAGGGCCAATACAGAAGGGCCAAGACCAAATACAGAAGGGCCAAATAAAGGTGCATTCACCATATGGCAGACAGAACTAATTCATAGTGTGGACTATTTGAGGGTTTGAAAACATCGAGATCACATATCAAATGATAAATACTTTGCATACAGAATTTGCAGATATTTCAAATGAAATTGACAAGGTAAAGCGCCTCATTTCTGTTAAAACAGTTTACAGATTTTTTTTTTCTTTTATCAGATACTAAGTCACAAAGAATCTTTGAATCCGTTAAACTGTTGAAATACGTTCCAAATACCTCATCAAATTATTCAGATAAAACAATGTCCACGATTATTTGAAAATTGCATGAGAGCCAAATTTATTTTTCATATTTTATATACAGATCAAATTAGCTTTTCATATATTGTGCGAGGTTAACATAGTATTATAGGATAGACCACAACAGAAATAGGTCAAATCTTTATATACATGAAAAGACATATTATTTATTTATTTATTTTATCACAAGATAAATCAAATATAGAACTCATGCCATTTCATATTATAAAAATACTAGTGAGAAATGAACTCACCTCTAGTGGTCACGATATTCTCGAAATATTAGTCTCCCGAATATCAGCCAGAACCTATAATGTAAGATATAGGACTAATTATTAATTCAGGACAAACATATATTATAGGTAATTCAATTCATAACTA